TGGCTGGAAAGAGGTGTGCAGAATCAGGTGAGGGTCGCTGATGGGAGGGAGGGAGGTCTTGCGGGTGGCCAACCTGTCCCTTCCCCATGCTCTTGACTAGCAAGTGGAGGTGAGGGGACTGGAGAGAAAGGAGTCACACCAGTATCAAATGTTTCAGGGACACTGGCAGGGGAGGGGATGGAGGGTCTACTACAGGGGGAGATGGGCAGCTCGGCAACTCCACCTTTTCTCATGAGGACAATGAGTGCAGCTAATGGCTGTGAGGCCTCCGTCTTCAGCTCCGGCTGTCACCAATGCTGCTGAGAAAGGTCACTCTTTTAGGCTGTGAAGTAGGGTTTGGGCCCCCTCAGTCCTGTCATAAAGAAGCAATAGGAGACAGAGGGATTCTGGGGCAGAGGCTCCTGCTACTCTGGTAGCAATGAATCCTCCTGAAATTCAACACTTGGGTTGCACGAAGTTCAAAGGCTATTCTGCCTTTTGCCATGTTTCTTCTTTCCCAAGTCAGAGTGAAGAAGGTAGAAAAAGACAGGGTAAGCCTAGGAAGGATTTCAGGAGGGCAATCAAGGGATGGGCAGCCTTCACAGGGCCATGTCAAGGCTCTGAGAACCATGTCTGTACTGTAGAAAAGGCACCCTTCTAGCAGCCAAGGCTGACTTTGCTCTCCCTCTACAGTCTCTGTAGGCTGGGGGAGTCACAGCTCTGGAAGATGCAGGCGACTGCTTTTATTCCAGGCCTGCAGGGCCCACCTGGCCTGTCTTCATCAAAGGTCAGTTTCCTGGGATCACTGATAAAGTGGAACCTATCAATCCTGTCAGAGCCCTGAAGGAGTTCCTTGGGTACAAGGTGGCCTCCTGACCACTAACTTCAGACCCTGCCACCCAGGCTCATGAGGCTGGTGTGACTTGTAAATACTGTGATCTGCAGAGGGCCAAGGGCCGGCCAGCCAGTCAGAGGCAAGGGGTCTGCAAGAGCAGCTTCCATCCATCGGCTTTGCTTCTCCTGCTCTTTCTAGACACGCTCAGGCAAACACAGTGCTGTGCTACAGACACAGGCTTCTGAGTCCCCATGCTCCTTCTGGTCCTTTTCTGACATCACAATACTTAGAACCTGCAAGGTATTTTCCCAGTCCTGCAGTGACCTCAACCACATCCAAGCATCTTATGCACTCCCCCCCTTTTCCAGATAGGTTAACTGGGGGCTGTGTCAGAGTTTTGGAATGATGCGCCCTCGGGCCCAAACAAGGCCGAACTCCATGCACTGTTCGCACTGTTTGAAAGCACTGCCCTCATACGGATCTGGGCCGAAAGGCACTTGTTTTAAGCTGTGGGTGTCAGGACAGTTGGCCTATGACAACGATTTCTTATTTTCAACTCCTGTCCCTGGGAGAGGGACCAAGTTTGAGATCAAGTGCACAGACCTCCCATTCTGTACCCTGGAGAACAAGAGCGGGCAGGCCCACCTTTCCTGAATGTGGAAATTATACAATATCATTTTTCTACATTAATGTCTCCGGGAGTTTTCTGTTTGCCATACACACCAGTCAATGTTCCCTAGCCCAGTTTCTCCCTGGCTGACACCATCATCGGAACTGAGAGTCACCTCTGTCAGGGTGAGCACAGTGCTCAGTGCACAGACCTCTGCACAGGGTGCTGGAGGGGCAGATGTGGGGTCTCCCAGGGACTGTGATTGTGTGGAGACACATCAGGGCTGGGCTTTATGGGCTCTTCTGGACCCTACCAACATTTACACAATCACGGAGACTAGAAATCTAGCTTCCAGGGCAGGGCGGGTGGTAGCAGTACATGCCTTTAGTGCCAGCACTTGGGGGTAGAGACTGGTGTATCTATGTGAGTTTGAGGCCAGCCTAGTCTACAGAGCTAGTTCTAAGACAGTCAAGACTACACAAAGAAACCCTGTCTCAGAAAAAAAAAAAAAAAAAAAAAAAAAAGGAGAAAATAAATAAATATGTAAACCTGACTTCCATTTCTATCTCACTATCACCCCCCCCACCCCCACCCCCCCGTTTCCTTACCTGTAGACAGCTCAGTCTGGGGTCCCTTGGTTCTAAGCCAACTGCTAGCATTGTCAGCCCATGCAGGGCCTGCTGCCCCTCCACCCATGCCTGGGGGACTGTCTCCTATGGATTCCCCCTCACTGCTCTCATCTGCACACTGCTGCTGCCAACATGCCAGTTTCCAGGACAGCCAAACGACTCAAGCACGAACTGAGACGCACCCTCGCCCTCCAGGCCTTCACGACTCCTGGTCCGCCTTAACTCCAAGTGCGCCAGTCAGGTACACAATGAGAACTTTAGAAAAACGTCTGTCAGCAGCTTGGGTCTGGTGCCTTTAAACTCAGTACTCAGGAGGCAGAGGCTGGAGGATCTCCGAGTTCAAGTTCAAGGCCATCCTGATCTATAAAGTGAGTTCTAGGATAGCCAGGGCTACACAAAGAAACCCTGTCTCAAAAAACCCAAAAAAGAAAAGACCTAACCTAAAATCAAAAGGGCGGTTGACAAAACTAAGTGCACGGCCCTGCCTCTCCCTTCCAAATGCCACAGTCTTAAATTGGGCAGTTTCCTTTCTTGACGCTGATGAGCAGTGGCCCCTTTGTCAGCAGGACCCTTGATGTGAAATCAGTCTTGTTTGTTGTAGCAGAACATGGTCTCCTACAAAAAAGGTTAACAGCAAAAGCAAGCGTGGATTTCTCCTTAGTTTGGTGTCATTTAGCACATAGTTCAGTGACAGCGTGGAGGTGAGGGTGATAAAACTGGAAGACTTACAAAGCCCATCGGCTGTGCCCGTTACTAAATCCAGTAATCTTTTGCCTGATGCCTCTCTGACCACATCTTGGCATGCATCAGGACAGATGGGAAGCGCAGACTCAGCTTCAGGATGGACTAGTTCAGGGATGTGCCTTATAGATGTTCCCATGAGGGAATGACAAGAGCAGCCAGGAGATGGAGGCTGGCTCAGAACCAAGACTTAGTGGTCTTTGGAAGGACTTTGGAGCTGCTGATGGTAGAGCCTGTTTTCCTAGGAGGGGAGCAAAGGCAGGGCCCTGGACAGTCACACTCATTACTTCCAGAGACCCTCCTGAGACTTCTTCACTCCTGAATATCCAGCCAGTCAGCTCTCCTTCCCAGAGTGGCTCCTCCACAAGGAAGCTGGGTTTCTCAAAGGCTTAGGCCTTTGTATCCGCGCCGCTGCAGTCTAGTCTACTTGCTGCCTGTGGCTGTAGATCCTTCTGGGTGTGTGTTCTGTGGCATATGTTAGTACTGGACCTGGAGACCTGGCTGGTTTCACGGGAGTCCTTTCATCATAGCCGCTGGTAGGAAGCTGTTATCTTCTGTCCTCCCAAAGCAGGGTATCCTCCACAAAGAAGTCAGTTCCCTCCTGATGAGCACAGGGCATTCTGGAGTTGAGTTGAAGGTAGCCCCAGTTTTCAGGAAAACGGGTCAACCTGGTGTCTGGAGCAAATTCCTTCCTAAAAACTGCCTCCTTGGCTGTTCTACAGTGAACATCACATGCCCCAAATTTCCCAGGGATTCAAATTTCATCTCAGTAGATTTTAGAGGACTCAATGAAAAAAATTTTCTCCAAGCATTTCTCCTTTTTTTTTTTTTTTTTTTTAAGAAACTACCTAGAGTGGAATTTAATGATTTAATGTATATGCGTGCCTTATAAGACTGTTGAGACCTGAAGAAAATGACTCATTGGGATCTGAGAAAACAAGGCTAGGCTACAGACAACATTACAGCATCTGCCTCATCTGCCACACCAAACACTTCCATATGATCCTCTGGACCTTGGCAGTCTACTCTCCTGTTGAGAATGCTCTCACTGAGAACCTGCCTTTCAGAACGATAATCTATTGAAACTTTATCAAAAATATTTTTATAGTACAAAGACTATAAAAAAAGAAAGACAAAAGCCCTTGGGAAGCAGCGAATAGTGAAAGCAGTCAAGACCTTAGAGGTTGGCCCTGGTCCAGTTTCAAATTACTCAAGCGCAGTCTGTGGGCTCGCCCTGCCACCATGTTCTTACAGGCTGTCAGCACTAAGGTTCTCTGAGGGTCTGTTCAGGCACAGGGACATGTGAGGGTTCTTGGTGACATGTTATGTGATGCTGTGAAAGGGAAGAAGCCACATGTGTGAAGATGGCACGTATGTGCCTCAAACTTAACGACCCACAGAGCCAATAAAAGTGACAGGGTGGGAATCTTCTCATCTGCCCATGTGACACATGCATGTGTGTACACACACACATACCCTGGACACTGCATCCCTCTGTCCAGGATCTGAACATCTTCACTCTGGCGAGAAGCACCTGACTGTAGCATGAGACCCTGCAGAAAGGAGGTGATTTGCTCATCCTGCCCACACTGTAGAATATGTTTCTCATGTTAACCTGATGTCATTCTGGATGTGTGCGATGGGCACGCATGTCCCCAGTGTCCACCATGCTGGCCACAGCATCCTCTTCTGAAAGTCTGGCTGTCGGCACTCCAGTGTTTCTTCATGTTGATGCTGAGGCTGGCAGGATAGCACTGGATTATACAATCAAGACGGAAAAGGGGTCTACCATTTGGTATTTAATAAGATGTTGGTTTGCATTTCCCAATGAAACATTTAAAACTATTCTGGTGTGGATGACTGTCAGCCTTGTCCATGTGGTCATCGTGCTAGGCTCCTGCTGCCACTTCCCCATATACATCACAGACAGTGGGGACAGAAGCCTTCCATGCCTAGTGTCTATGTAAATACTAGTCATCTTATGTCATGCTCATCACAGATGCTGGAAAACGACAAAGCAGGTGACTGTCTGATCCTGTGAGAGCAGACTCTGGCCCCGTGGCTCTGGAGGACACAGGTGGTCAGAGTCGCAGGGGGGGGGGAAGAAGATGAATCTTCTCTTGAAGGACACTCTATAGGAAGAGGCCCTTTACCAGGAAATACAGTGAGAGACAGGACGAAGTGAAGCAGGTCAAGGAGCCGTGACTCACATTCTGCATTGGTGGGACATTTTATCTGCAGGCTTCCGTGTGTATGTGTGGACCACAAAATGTATTGTACAAAAACCCAGTGTCACCCTGACACAGAACAGCGTGCGACTACTTGGGGACATGGACACATTTGCAACAACCGCATCATTAGCTCCTAGCCCCATCTCTTCTCTGGAAACGGCAAGGCTCATGGGGTGCCCTTGCTTAGTGGTCAGCTCTGGGTGGGTCTTCAGTACCACGAGGCTCACCTGGGCAATAATGCTGTCCTCAAACCTCACCTTGGGGGAGCTCTGCAATTTAACTCTGAACCCCAACTTGCACTCAGAGGTACTGCCATTCTTCCAAAACGGACGATGACAGAAAAATACAAAATAAGAAAGGTGACCATAAATCAAATCTCAAAAGGAGAGACCCCCAACAGCCCATTTTTTAAAAAATTCAGGTTTTGTTCTCATCATACATGTCCAAGGATGGTTCGATTGTGGAGAATTCACTTTCGTATACCAGGCTACGAGGCGACAGGGAGTTCCGGTGAAAGAGGTGCCCACCTGAAGAAGGAACAAGAAAGACATACTTAGTGTGGCCTTTAGCCCGGGTCCCGCAGGACCTTAGAGGAGAATGTTGATCAGCTCTGTAACACTGCATTTCCCCAAGAGTTTCCTTCACTGGGGCCTCAGTGCTGTGGCTGCAAGCTGGGCCTCTCACATGCTGAACGAACCCTGCACCACTGAGCTGCCTCTATGCCTTGTAGGCATGACTGGCTTGTTTTTGTTTTTGTTGTTGTTGGTTTTCTTTGTTTGTTTTGAGACAGGATTTCATGTAGATAAGACTGGCCTTGAACTCACTATGGCTGGAAACGACCTTGAATGTGTGATCCTCCTGACTACATTTTTTTGAGTCCTGGGATTACAAGCATGTATTACACGTTTAGTTCATGAGGCGCAGGGGGAATCAAACCTAGGGCTTTGTACACACCAGGCAAGCTCTCTGCCAACTAAGCCACTTCCTCAGCCCTCTGTAGACATATTTTAAATGTATACAGTTCTGGGGCTAGAGAGATGGTTTAATAGTAAAGAACACTTGCTGCTCTGGCAGAGATTTGGAGTTCAGTTCCTATGACCCATACCAGGACTCATGGCTGTCTGTAACTAATTCTAGGGGATCCGACATCCTTTCTGGCCTCCATGGACATTGCACACATGTCGTAAGTACACATACATATATGCACTCATACACATAAAATAAAAATCAATAAATCCTTTTTAAAAAACCTTCTGATATATGTACATTCTCCTGTTAGGCTCCCAGGAAGGTGTCACTGTAGCTTTTCAGAACAAAAGAAGGATTCCATGACTGATATAAAGGTTTTTTTAAGGACACAATCGTATGAAGAATTATAAATCCTGTCCCTCTCCAAGCCTCTGTCCTAGAATGATCTGCAGGCAGGAGTGCACAGAAATGCTCGGCAGTTGGGAAAACCTGGGAATTGTGGGTGGCAAGTATCAAGGATCCTGATAACACATTTAAAAGTTTGGACTAGAGAGACAATAAAAGCACTTGTTACCAAACTTGATCCCCAGGACCCACATGGTGGAGGCAGAAAACTGATTCCTGAAAGTCTTTTTTTTTTTTTTTTTTTTTTTTTTTTTTTGGTTTTTCGAGCCAGGGTTACTCTGTATTGTTTTTGAATCTGTCCTGGAACTAGCTCTATAGACCAGGCTGGCCTCAAACTCACAGAGCTCCACCTGCCTCTGCCTCCCAAGTGCTGGGATCAAAGGTGTGTGCCACCAATGGCTGGCTTTCTCAGAACTCTTTATGTGTGTTATGGTAAGCATGTGCACAAACACACACACTAAGTCAAATATAATAAAACCATTTTTAAAGTTAAAAGTTTGAATGTGGGGCTCAACAGGTAAATGTGCCCCAGAGCATAAGGACCTGAACTCCATATCTATAATCCCCATAGAAAAGCTGAGTGTAATCCCAGCTCTGGGGAGGCACAGACAAACAGACCCAGAGGCCAGACAGCCTAGATTGAGCTCCAGGTCAAAGGAGAGACCCTGTCTCAAACAAGGCGGATGACAGCTGAGAGACAACACCCACACTGACCTTTGGTCTCCTCACACACACTCTTACACATCTATCCTCATGAATGTGCAACCACCCATACAAATACAAAAGTTTTATTAATATTAAAGCTATACCTTCACATGGTTTGGTTAATTATTACTTAAATCTAAGTAATTTTTTTGGGGGGGCAGTATACCGTTATGTAGCATAGCCATGCTAGCCTGGAACTTTCAATAACCTTTAAAATTTTTAAACGTTAATTTTATTTTACCCATATGAGTGCTTGCCTGAACAATCCCCAGAAACTGGAAGAGTTCAAACAGTTGTGAGGCACCATGTGGATGCTGGGAGCAAAACTGAGATCCTCGGAAAGAGCAGCAAATTCTCTCCAGCCCCTGAACCTCTATTTCCCAAGTGCTGGGGTTCTAGGCCTGGGGTTCCAGCTGCTCTCATGTGGAGCCCTCTCCCCGCCCTGTACCAGGGGTTGAACCTAGAGCTTTATGTGAAGGCTCTACTGCTAGGATTTACCCCAGCCATTCTTCCTTCTTTAGACAGGCCTGGCTAAGTTTCCCAGGGAGGTCTTGAACTTGCACCACTCTGAAGAGCCTTTGCCTCTCCAGCAGCTGAGAGCACAGACTATGCAGCCAGCCGGTACCACATGTTCTGAAGAGTGCAATCTCCAATTTCCCTTTTTCAGAGGGTGCAATTTTAGTGCGATTCTCATGGACTTCATGATTTCAATAACATACTTATTTTTCCTCTTTTAAAAATTTACTTTGTGTGGATGGTGGAAGTGGAGACTGCCCAGGCGGAGGTCGGAGGGCAACTTTCAGGAGTAGAATCATGTGGGTTCCAGGGACTGAAATCCAGGTCATCAGACTTGAAATTGCTAGCTCAAAGGTACCAATTTTGAGCCTCATATTTTTTCAGTTTTAGACTTTATTGAATTTCTACTAGTGAACATTAGGATTTCCCCCCCAATCTCTATTCCTTCCCTTTTCCATAAACATTGTCCCAAGTTGTTGTTATTATTATTATTTTGGTTTTTCAAGACAGGGTTTCTCTGTGTATTGCTCTGGCTGTCCTGGAACTCACAGTGCCTGCCTCTGCCTCCTGAGTGCTGGGATTAAAGGCATGTGCCATCACTACCCTACCCCAAGTAATTATTTTTTTGATAATTTAATACATTCAGGGTTTATACTATTTAACTGTTTGTGCTACTCAAAACCAAGCCATGTTCCTGTTTTCTTTTCTGCATTGTCCTGTTTTGTTGCTGGGACTTTGAGGTAACAGGGAAATAAAGTAAAATGAACATGATTAAAATTTACAACTTCAAGAGTTTTTATAGGAGGCTAGAGGGATGGCTCAGCGATGAAGAGTGTGCAACACAATCATGAGTACCAGAGTTCAAATCCCAGCACCCACGTAACAAGCCAGGCTTTCTATAAACATGTTAGCTCCAGTGCTGAGGGACTGGATGCTCTCATGTGGTCTTTGCATCTGTACAAACATGCACACCAGCACCCATTTGTATATACTCTTTCAAACACAACTAGATAAATCTATAAGAACAGAGGTTTTATGCATATGCCTACTAACCTAGCCAGAGTATAGAACATGAACATGTGCAACACTGTACTCTCAGCTGCTGGAGAGGCAAAGGCTCTTAAGAGTAGTGCAAGTCCAAGGCCTCCCTGGGAAACTTAGCCAGGCCTGTCTAAAGAAGGAAGAATGGCTGGGGTAAATCCTAGCAGTAGAGCCTTCACATAAAGCTCTAGGTTCAACCCCTGGTGCAGGGCGGGGAGAGGGCTCCACATGAGAGCAGCTGGAACCCCAGGCCTAGAACCCCAGCACTTGGGAAACAGAGGTAAGGTGACTAGGGCTGGAGAGATGGCTCAGCAGTTAAGAGAAAATGTCCTAAAATCTTTTGGTATTCTTTTTCTCTCTTATTCCTATCACCATGGAAACAGTTTATCTTGCATCTTTCCAGAATGTTGAGTCATTGAAAGTTGCTATGAACATTTATATACAAGCCATTCAAGAATATGTGACTGCATATCTCTTGGGTTAAGTAACCAGGGGTGGAATGTGTAAGGGGCTCCAGGCTAATTTATGTAAAGTGGCTGTGCTGTTTTACAGCCTTTTGTGAAGTGTGTAAAAACCCCAGTGCCTCTGGGCAATGGTGTCGTCTTTTAAATCTTAGTCCTTTTTGATGCTTTTCTTCTCCCTTCTTTTGTACCTCCATCCCTTCCTTGTAGGCCGAGTCTCACATAGCCCAGATTGGCTTGGTACTTGCTGTGTACCCGAGGAAAACCTCAAACTCCGGATTCTCCTGCTTACATCTCCCAAATGTTGGGATTCCAGGTGTGCACTACCCCACCCAGCTCTTCTCTTAGGTTTTAAGATTCTGTTTTCATTTTATGTGTACGAGTGTTTCGCCTGTATGTATGTGTGCGTGTCATGTATGTGCCTGCTACCCCCAGACATTAGATGAAGTCAGTGGAGTTACAAATGGTCGTGAGCCACCATGTGGGTGCTGGGAACCAAACCTGGGTCCTTCATAAGATCAGTAAATGCTCTTAACTGCTGAGTCATCTTTCTAGCCCTCTCCTTAAAGCTTTAATTTGTCATTTGCTGGTAATTAATGATGCTGGGCATCTTATCAACAACTCTATTTCTTTTTTGGGGGGTAGGAGTTGGGGCTGGAGCCCAGGGTACTGTGCACACTAGACCAGCACTCCACCATGGAGCCACTCCTCAGATCTTCTTCATAAGGTCTCACAATGTAGCCCTGGCTGACCTGGAACTTGTTACATAGACCAGGCTGGCTTCAGACTCATAGAGATCCAAGTGCCTCTGCCTCTGCTGGGATTAAAGGAATGTGCCACCACTGCCCAGGTTTTTTAAAGGCATGAGATCCAAGCTCTTTTTCAAGAATGTTTGAAAATACGTTTTCAAGAGTGGCTTTTCATTTTACTAACATTGATTTTTGAAGGGCAAGCTCCAAATTTTGTTAAAATTCAATTTATTGATTTCTTTCCCTTTCATGTCAGTTTACGGGAATGTTCACCAGTTCCAAGGTTATTGAGATTCTTCTTCTGTGACATCATCTAGAAGTTTAGGGTTTACTTATGAGGTTTGATTGGTAGGCATTAAGGATTGGAGCTCCATTTTATGCACACAGCCATCAGACTGTTGAGATACCTCTGCAGTTAAGAGCATGGTGGCTCATAACCTCCTCAGCTTCAGGAGATCTGGTGCCCTCCTCTGGCCTCTTTGGGCACTACAAGCACAGGGAGCCAAAATAGAAGCAGGATAAATACCCCATACACATAAAATAAATAGAAAAAAGTAGTTATATTGGTAATGGTCAGAAAAAATAAAGGAGTTAGATTCAAGGGTCTCTTTCTGAAGAAAAAGGGGGATACGGCATGAAAATGATGCGATAAAAGGGTGGGTTACTAAGTCTACTTTTAAG